TATTATCTATATCTGTCTTTCTCTTTCTCTCTCTCTCTCCCTCCTTCCCTCCCTCTCTCCCTCTCTCTCTCTCTCTCAACATGGATAGAAGCGGTGAGCAGAGTTAGTGTCCTCACCCTCCATTCGCCTCGTCCACTGAGGTGCGTCCCTAACCGGGGTCCTCTTCACACAGGAGTCGCTGACATTCTGGGATGTGGCCGTGGAGTTCACGTGTGAGGAGTGGCAGCTCCTGGCCCCTGGTCAGAAAGCCCTCTACCAAGAGGTGATGCTGGAGAACTACAGCCACCTGGTGTCCATTGGTAAGGATTGTCCACCGGTCGTGGCCCTGTCACTGTCTCTTCCTTTCTGAGCTCCTGCAGTCGGCAGAGCATCGGTGTTGCCCTGGCAAGGCAGATACTCAGTCTGCTCTCTGACTTCAGATGCAGTCTTCCCGCTCTTGACCAGAAAGGTCTTTAATTTGTACACTTGGACGTGGTTCTGAATCTCTGTAGACCTCGGGCCATTCAGCTGTGTCTAAGCTTCTGTGCTTCTCCCATGAACAGGGGATCCAGTCAGCAAACCCGATGTGCTGTCCAGGTTGGAACGAGGAGAACCGCCATGGACCACGTTAGGCGAAAGCCACAGTGGAATGTCTTCGGGTGAGTGAGCTCAATGTGGACGTCACATTCCACAGAGAGACGACACCAAAGCTGCTTTGTGTGTGTGTGAGTTTGTGTGTGTGTGTGTACGTACACCACAGCTCTGTGAGTGTGTGTGTGATGTGTGTGTGTATGTATTGATTGCCTTCGAGTCACGTCAACTCATAGCGACCCCATGAACAAACATAAGGTCTAAAGCCTTTCTATAACCATCGACATTTATCAAAGTTCATCGAGTTTCCGGAGGCATGTGGTTTAGGAAGTGGATGCCACTCCTGTTTCCAAACCTGTCTTCAACTGGGAGCTCCATCAAACGCTGTCCACCTGTATTCTCGGTCATTCTGGATCTCGATGTGCAGTCTGTTGCTTCCTTAAGAAACCTTGTGGTTGTGCGTATGGTATGTGAGTTTGGTGTGGTCACTGCAGTGAGTTATCGACCCTCGGAGAGCAGAGGATGCCGGGGCAGGGCGGTTGGGGTCAGCATTGGTGTGAAGACTGGAGATTGGAACTGACCTCCGCCTCCTAGGAATTGACTCTGGACTGATGCTGGTGCTAATTCTCCTGGCCCCTCAGGAGGTTGCAGGAGGCCAGGTCCTCTTGCTTTGTCCTTTTTTTTTCTAATTAATTTTTATTTTATTATTTGTGTGTGTGTGTGT